ACACACACACACACACACACACACACACACACACACACACACAGAATATTATTTAGCCATAAAAAAAGAATGAAATCTTGCCATTTGTGACAATACGGATGGACCATGAGGGCATTATGTTAGTTGAAATTAGTCAGACAGAGAAAGACATACTATATCATCTCACGCATATGTATATTCTGAAAAACCAAAACCAAAACCAAAAAACCCAAGCTCACAGATAGAGAACAAATTGGTGGTTGCCGGATGCAGAGGGTAGGGAATGGGTGAAATGGATGAAGGCGGTCCAAAACTGCAAACTTCTAGTTATACGATCATCAGTCACGAGGACACAGTGTACAGCATCGTGACTATAGTTATTAACACTGCACTGCATATCTGAAAGTTGCTGAGACAGTAGATTTTAAAAGTTTCATCACAAGAAAAAAAATTTTATAACTATGCATTGTGACAGATGTTAACTAGACTTATTGTGATCAAGTGCAGTATGTATAAATATCAAATCATTATTTTGTACACTTGAAGCTAATAATGTTACATGTCAATTATACTTCAATAAAAAGATACAGAATATGAAACAAAAAATATCAAAGAAGGAAGAATGTATTATAGCTACACTGATAAGGAACTGAAAATCAAGATACTTCATAACAAAATCAATTACTTAGAGGTGCCTTTCTGAGAACATCCTGATTCTTATATAATCATACCATTTTGTGGACTATCCCTGGAGAAGTATGGCTATTGCGGGTAGTAACAATGAGCAAAGATTTTACTGTCACTGGCTTTCATTTGGGCACTATGTGCTCTGTGTATGCTCTCTTGTTTAAATCCTACAATGGCCCTATCAATATCTCAAGGGCACAGATAGGGACAATGAGGCTCAGAAGAAGGTAAGTCACTCACAGGGGGACTGGCAGAGCAAGATTCAAATACAGGATGTCAGCTTATAGAGAGTATGAACTTCTAACCTTTGCAATGGATTGCCATGTTAACAATTAAGAAAAGACAAAGCTAATCGTTGAGAAGAGCAACCTAAGGGAGGGCCTCTAGATCCAGTCTCTCAAAATGCATTATGCTACCAGCACCCAAAAGAAAACATGCCCACCCCAGGATTCCCACACATCCTTACCTGGGAGCCCTCTTCGTTGTAGTGCCTGGCGTTCCGGAACATCAGCTTCATGTCTTCTATCATTCCCTCTTCCCCTGCATACTTGTCATTGCGGATGTTATGTTCAATTATTTTCAAATCCATTGGCTCCAATATGATTTTATAATAGTCAGGATAGTCCTTTTTGGATGGTTTAACCATAAAGAGATCACAAAGTCTTCTGCCTGAACCTGGCTCACGAGCTTCAAGAACAACATTGAATAAGATTTTCATTCGCTGCTTTCTTATGTTCTTTTTACTGTTGGCGGGGGGGGGGGGTAGAAAAGGGGAGAAATGAGAAGAGGTTCAGTTTTCTTCATACAGGGATGAACATGAAATGAAAAATTAATCATGTGGGAAGGTGCTTCATAATGATAATTTATTGATTACATATGCCACAAACACAGTAAACATGCTGGCAGCTATAAGCAAATATAGGAGAATTTCCAAATAGTTAAAACATAGTGACTCTGGCAGGAGCAGCCAACGAACACCAGACAAACCTGTTTAGAATTTTTACGAAATGCAATGCTTGAAAAAAAACTTCTCTAACACCCAAAGAAAATGAAATTCTGTTATCAGTTGAAATGTTTGTTTTTAAGAACACAGCAAAAATGGAATAAAATTACTGACTCCCTGTTACTAACAGTCCTCACTTCAAAAAACTAAAACCAAACACACACAAAGAGAATGTGCCATCTCTTAAGACAATCACTCTGAACACCTGCATATCCTGGTTACCAGGAAACAACAGGAGGCTATCTGCAAGACTAGTCTCTATAGTGGGTGTAAGTCTCTCCTACATTTATCTTGTCTAGGTCAGTCCCCGCTTCCTCCAGCTCCATGGGCATTATTCCAACATCCCAACCTAGCTTCAGGAGTAAATGCTCTGTGGTTCACCTGAGCTCTTAAATAATTTTCATCCTTGAATGTGAGTCCCTGTCTTGTTCTCCAAATTCTCCCAGTGAGATGTGACACTAAGCAACAGATGTGCGTGGTGTGGAACAAAGTCAAGGGACCACAGATCAGAGCCCAAGTTAAAAGGGAGCCCAAGAGAACAGATAGGCTGTCTCCTATTTGTTGAGGAAACTGGCTCAGAAAGGATAAATGACTTGCCAAGGTGAGTTGTCCAGTGAATTATTAGAAGAGATGACCTTCCAGCATGATTTCTGGCCCACTATTTGTATGTTTTCAGGACAATGATAAATTCTAACAAGACTCAAGCCAGCAGTCTCCAGATGAACACTCAGGTAGGTAATAAAAAGAAATAATTTATGACTTAATTTCTATTCAATAAACACTGATAATGTCATATAATGTAGTACTTAGAGATAAGTATTTTTTTTAAAGATTTTATTTATTTATTTATTTGAGAGAGAGAGAATGAGAGACAGAGAGCACGAGAGGGAAGAGGGTCACAGGGAGAAGCAGACTCCCTGCTGAGCAGGGAGCCCGATGTGGGACTCGATCCCGGGACTGCCAAAGGCAGTCGCTTAACCAACTGAGCCACCCAGGTGCCCGAGATAAATATTTTTTATCTGTTTCCTGTCTTACAAATGGAAGGAAGTTCATTTCTGAAGCAATGTGGCTGAATGGGTCTCCTCAAAATGGGTCTCCAAGTCCAGGAGACTCACTCTACTGCTGGATCATAAAGAGGCCAAAGGCCAGATATTTTCTCTCCAAAGTTCAAAATATGCTTTTTTTAAAAAAGAAACAAAACCCCAATAAAGAATTAACAGACAAGAAAAGAAATTTCTATCTTTAAGTCAAGCTTTTAAAATGTGTCAGAAATGCCTATCTTCCAAGCATGATGGAGCTAAGACAGCCTGAAAGTGGTCAGTTAGGAGGGAAAAAGGACCTCCGTTTCCTGTGCCTTCACTCAGACTGCTCATTTCCCTTGGGTAATCTTGAGTGGCTCCAGGATCATTTCTGCCATTTTCTCCTCTTAGTATTTTTGTATCTCTATGTCAAGTAAGTAATTGTTAGATATGTTAGGAGAAGTTTCATTCAGTGGGAACAATTTCCCCAAAGAGGTATCTGGTTGCACTGGTGTGACAGCAAGAGTCCTCTCAGTCCAGGACTCAGTAGGTGGATAATGGAAGGGGAACTTGGAACAGAGCTCCAAACCACAGAGCTCCACATGCAGGCAGAGATTAGAATACAGATGACATTAACCTTCAGGAAGCCTCTAAAGAAAAATTTCCAAATCTGAATTTGACATCACAGAAATCTATGCTTAAAACTACTAAAGATAGTTATAGTTTCTTTAGATCTCACTTGTGGGGGTCAAACTACAAAACGAAAACTCAGAAATCCCATTGTGAACCTGTGAGCTTAAAAAAGTCTCTCCAATAATCAACTCAAAATCCAGGAATATCACACAGAACAATTCAAGGTTTCTTTCTTGGTCTAGGTAAGCTCTCCTCCCTTCCTAGTTCCAGTATATCACCCCCAATCATCACTGGCCTTTTCTGTATGAAGCTACAAATACTCTACAAATCTGAGAGTGGGTCTAGGGCAGATTTTTAGGAGTTTTTTTAAAGAGGAGGGAAAGTTTTTTTTACTGAATTTTAGGGAAAATGCCAACAAAGTAAAAGAATGGAGAGTGGGATAGCTCTGACACCAAGCAGCTTTGAATGGGACATATCCAAAATGTGAAATCTGGGGGCTCCTGGGTGGCTCAGTTGGTCAAGTATCTGCCTTTGGCTCAGGTCATGATCCCGAGCTCCAGAGACTGAGCCCTGCACTGGGCTCCCTACTCAGCGGAGTCTGCTTCTCCCTCTGCCCCTCCCCATGCTTGTGATTTCTCTCTCTCTCTCTCCAATAAATAAAATTTTTAAAAAATGTGAAATCTGAATTTATTTAAGAGGCTGCTCTAATAACTGAAATGTATTGTTTTAGGACTTTTATAACCAATAGTATCCTCTCCCCATTTGTATCATTCGTTCACTCTTTAAGAGTGATGTGTAACTGGTTTCCATCCTCAAAGGCAAGCAAAACTTGTGTTGTTAGGGTCACGTACAACCTTCTCTGAACTGGGTAAACCCAGTTTTGTTATTTTGTTGACATCTTTCCTGATCCCTATATTGCCTTTGACACTGAGAACTACTGGCCCATTAGTTTTAATCTGGCTATCAGAAAAAACTGAGTTAAATTTCAGACTCTTCCATAACAACTATATTAGCTTGGGTGGTTGGTGCTTTTGCTCTATCTCTGTCCAATATGGATGCCGAACTTTATTACATGTGACTTTTGAAAGCAACTTCATATACTTTCTGAAATGAGATAAGAATTACAAAAAGACAGAAACCATATTTCCCTAACTGGTACTTTCCGTTTACTGTTTTCAATGTCACTTTGCTTTTCAGATTCTTCTTAGAACCCCTCTATGTATCTTACCTGTCCTCCTCTCCCACACCACTAACCGTACATAGTTTGTTTACTCCTACCCATTTTGGAAAAAGGACATTAATCTCAGACCTTGTAACTGGCATACTCACTCTTCTTTTTTTAATCAGCACCTTTAAACATACTGAAGTAAAATATATGTTAAAGGAGTTCAAAACCAGGGCTGTTTAACTTTGTGCACTTATGGGTGCCACACTTAAGGGGACACCAATTTAGATAACAGACATTGTTATAATAAATATGCAGCTCTAGAATTTTACAGGAGATGGGCCATGAAGGGTTCTGTGCTAACAAAATCATTACAGCAATTTTCCAACAAATCAAAGTGTCTTGAGAAATGGGTGCTTTTTCTAACTTGCACAAAGATGAGAAGCTACAAGAGGCTCTGTTCTGAATCTCATTTTCCAGGGCCAGCACTACCACCATCCTCCTGACTCCCAACCCAGCTTGAAACACTGCAATCACTCACTTTTTGCTTCTTTTAGTTTATCACCAAGTTTTAGAGGAACCTCCAAAGCCCTTCTGGATCTGATCTTTCCTTTCAATTTTTCATGCCACAGTGTTAGTCCTCACCCTCATACTTTGTGGCTGACTATATTCTCAAATGTCCTTAACATTATACTTCCTCTGAAGCTATTATTTATTATTATATGTATTCACGTTTGCATATATACACACAAAATTCCCATTTATGGTTATAGCTAACACTTCTACCACGTGCCAGGGGCTGGACTAGTAAAGCACTATATGTGTGACGTCATTTAATCCTCAAGCTCTAAGAACCAGGTACACTTACTATCCCAACTTTGCAGTTGGAAAACTGGAGGATTACAAGGATCAAGCAAATACTTAAGGTCATAAAGTGAGCAATCAGAACTAAGACTTGCATCAGCTGATAATCACCAGGCTGCTTTTATGATGTCCCTCCCTTTCCCAAAAGTCAGCACTTACCGTGGGCCTCTCTACCCTGTTCATAGGCTCCCAGGTCTCCCAGCATTTAACTCCCTGATTCTAGAGTTTCAGTGGTGTCTGCTGTTAAGCTAAGTAAACCCAAAGGTTCTCTCCTTTACCAGGCTGGCTATATTCACTGCATCTTCAACTCTTCAAGGAATAAAACCTTTTAATAAATAATAAACCTTTTCTAAAGAGTTTCTCAGACTAGCAACAGAGGACTAAAAACAAAATGAAATCTACCGAGCCTTGATGTCAACAGGAACTACTTCCAGAAAATAATCAGAGTTGGATTTTGAGTACTAACTGTACCTAGGCCCAGTTCTAAGGGCTTTAAACACATCAACCACCCAGGTCCTCACGATGTTCTTACGTAGGTATAGTTATCAACTCTTTTTTCAGATGAGGAAATTGAGGTGAGGCTCAAATCACAGAGCTAATTAGAATAACTAGGATTTGAACTTGGGCAGTTAGGTTCTAAGAGCCTGGGGTTATAATATTACTCCAGATGCCCCACATTTCTATTTCTACTATTACTGAGAGTTAGTACCATACACACTATGAAAGATGTAAGCGAAATATAACCCATGGTCTTTTTCTTAAGTTCGTGATCTAAGAAAATTTTTCTTAAGGAAAATATTAGGAAGAAGGTAACTGATAACACAGAGTTAACAGAGTGGACTGCATATGGGAGAAACATGCAGATAACTTTATTAACATCTAACTTGCAAAGAAAAGCATGATAGGGAAATCACATTTCCTGGAGCCCTTTGGGCAGTCATGTATGTAGTTCCATAAAACTACACAACTATGTACCTTGTGCAATTATTCTATGACACTGCTCCCACATAATTTCATTTGTTTTCAACCTGCCTTTCTTCCTGGCCAGTAAGTTCCTGGCACGTGGAGGTGATGCCTAAACATTTTCCTTTATGGCCTGTAAGAGTGGAGTCTGGTGTTCCGCAAGCAATTGACACTCCATGAACGCCAGAAGGCTAAGGTGAAAATAAAAGCACCACACAACAATGACTAGGACTATAACATGGCAACTCATAGGCTCTTTTAAAAATCATAAGTGACATGCAAAAGGATGGATGCTTTCAAAGAAATAAAACATGGGCAAGATCAGAGACTGACAAAATGTATTCATGCTCGAGAAGTGCTAACCCAATGCACAGGTGCCAACTCAGGCTGATATCACCTGACTTCAACATTGGTTTTGATCCCTCCACCACCCCCCAGTGTGTAAAAGACATCCTTGAAAGGGCACCAGTGTCTGCCAGCCTCTGGGCGCTGCTGATGCCATCATATTCTCAGCCTCTACCTTCTGTTGCACAAGCACAACCACAGTGACCAGTGAGAGGGCTTGCGGCCACTGGCAAAGCTAGCAACAAATTAAGGCTTCAGAACATATCAAGGCGAACTAATTCTGAATTTATTCTACCAGCTATACTTCTAAACTATACTGCTTTCTTTATTCATAAAAACAACTGGCACCCAAATGAAAACTTATTTCACATGCTGAAGACTTCACTTTCACCTAATCAGTACTGACCATGCCACAGAAATTATACTTTTAAAAATATGTTTATGCATAAAAAAGGACTGCACACCTGGAGAGCCTCCTGAGACCCAACATCTCACTGTCAAGAGTGTTCCTGGGAAAGCAGAAACAAACATTACATGTGAAGAGAAACAAAACAAGCAACATTGGAGGGTCATGTACAAACCAAATACGGTTGAGAAAAAAGAGGATTATTCAATCCAAAAGATAAAAGATATTAAGAATACTTGGAACATTTTAACATGGATGACAGCAGGTAGACTTTTGGGCAAGGGGGTGGGGGAGAAGAATGCACTCCCGGAATGAAGATAACATACATTAATATTTTTCACACTCTTTGATATTAAAAAAATAAGGCAAAGATAGAATCATACACAATATTTAGGAGTTAAGTGGTACTTGAAAAACCTGGCCCTGACTTCACTGGGCAAGCTGAATTTAACCTACCAGGCAGCTGTATTTGCCTGAATTCCGGAAAAGTCTATTTCTCGCTAGCAAAACCTAACATAACGAGCTACCTTCTAAAAGGCTCGTTAATGTTTCTTTCTTTGCCACACAGTTCAAAGCATAGATAGGACCTGCTTCTCTGAACCTCTTAATGTCCACTTATGCCTGTATTTCAAAACCAGGTATGTTCTTTTATTGTTTTAGCTAGGATTTAAATTTGTTCTTCTCTTATTTGTGTTTTTCACTTTATTATTCAAAACACTTCCTAGGAAACCTGTTCACAGAGACGTTTTATCTGAAGTAGGATTTTATGATTTCAACAATACTTAGTTTTCTTTTTGCGGGAGATTTTAGAGTAATAACTTTCCTGTGATTTACTTGGGTTGCCCCACCAACTACAAGCCACAGAGACAGAGTGGTCATTAAGGATCTGGCCTGGGTTAGTGCTTCCTCAGAACTGTTATAAGGCTCAACTAGTTTCAGATCTCTCTTTCCATTCAGTGTTGGCACTAACTGTACCATCACTTTTGCCTCCATTACCTTCTTTTGTCTTAGAAGTTTTTATCTTTGATGGGTGACTGATCTGGAAAACACAGGTGATGCTGTAGTAGAGTTATATAATTACACTCAAAGATGTCCTTGATCTGATGTCTCTGATCTGGTTTCACATTTTTCTTCGTTGTCCCTGGTATAACAAGGAATTAAGAACTTGGAAGGATGAAATTCATAGGCCAGTAATGGAGGAGACTCACATCTCAGGGTATACCAATCAATTTAGTTACCATGGCATAGCACAGCAGTTACTCTCAAGACTAAAAAATTTTTCCCAAATGCTATTTATAAGAGGAAAAGATAGGGCAGTTTCTCTTTTGTAAACCACTTTTTTAAATCCTCTGATCTTAGTGGATCTATTAATGCATGAACAAAACAGTGTCAACAGTTACTAGTGACTCCTTCATTCAACTCTGGATCTGCGCCCGCTACTAGTGATTAGCTTATTTCTTGTTTAAGGCATTCTCCCTGGAGCAAACAATGCTACAAAGATGGTGAGACAGTTAAGGCTGAGGGAGAATATGGTGTTCCACAAAGATCGAGCCAGAGAAACTCTGTGTGGGAGGAGTAGACAAAAGAGATGTTCTTGCAGGATTCTTTATAGGAGTCCAGCTTCAGAGTCTTACAGTGAGGTGCCCTTCCACAGAACCCATGAGAGAAAGGAAGGGTGAGTGAAGTTCGGAGAAAGATTAGAAAGAGAGAAAAACCAAACATCTAGCTTAGCATTTTATGAACTACAAGAAGCTATGATGTGGTTGTCTGCAATCTGACATCCTTAAAATGGCAAATAAAGATCAGATTAATAAGGAAAAACAAAGACACAGGAGTATCAGCAACTGACTTCACTGCAGTGATAGTACTGAAATGTTTTGCAATTCACCACATAGAAATTACCGAAATTAGATTTAAGTGGCACTCCTGAAATGCCACATGAAAGCAAAACGGCCCAGACGGCCAACAGAGTAAGATGCTTTGCCGAGCCCCATAAGTAGCTGTCACTTTCATCCATGTGGTCTACAGCCATTACGGCACTTGCACCAACAGCAGTGCTGATCATACCACTCACAAATAAATTCTAACAGAAGATCTGTTAGCAAATAATTAGAGCTTATAAGAGAATTCATACCTGACAGCTTAAAAACACATTTTTCCTGCACTTATCAAAAACAAAATAATAGCGCTGTCTCCATCTAGGAGAAGAATACGTACCTTTTTCTTTTGGCGCTACCAGCATCAGAGGTGGCTGAAGAAATCATGCTGTCTCCATCCTCAATGTCATCCCTCCTGGCAAGCTCCTTCTTCTTTGCCTGAAACAGAGCATACCGTGGAGTTAAGCTCATCCTGCTGAATGCTCCTAGAATATATGAATATTAAAGAGCCAGACATATCAGATTCTCTTAGAAAAATACAACCACATGTAAGATGCACAAAATTAAAGAGTCAGTAAACATTTTCAATAACCCAGTTTAACGAAAGCTTGCATGACCTACAGAAAAGTAGGTTAAAAACTGGATCCAGAGAGTTGAGGAATCCACACTAGCTCAACTGCAAGACTACAATGGCACCAGCTTGTTGAAAGCGCTGAGGCAAGTTGTAAGGGGTGTCCTGCCATTTTTAGGTGAAGCCAACTAAAGACAGTCTTTGGTACCCTTGCCTTCTTCAGCGATGGTGTGGCGAAGAAGAAAGTTTAATGAGAGAGGTGAAAAGAAGATCTACTTTCAACACATGCATTTTTAAAGACCTTCTGCCAAACAGCTGAAAGTCCAACCATTACGGACTTAGGGAATGCATGCACAGCGCTGAAAGGCAATACGAGAAATGTGCAGCACCGATGTCAGGATCGACTACACAGAGTGAAGATTCTCCAGGGTTATTTAAAATTGCTTCTGTTGCTTCCTTGCTCTGCGATTCTCTTTCCAGAAAGATTCTACCCAAAACTGACAGACACAATTTGTATTTCGTATCTATGCCTTTCTTCAAAACCCCTAGATCACCCATGACTCCCTGTTGCCCACTAGGACGTGCTCTCAGAAAGGATCTGATAAATTCTTGAACACTGTACAATGATTAATTAGCTTTAAGATGTTCTTTCTCCTAGGACCAATGCTACCCTAACAGACACAAGTCTAGAACCAAAGAAATAAAATCTAAATGATGGAGTACCATCTGTGACTGGAGGGACACTTCCTGAGGACCCTAAAATGACTCCCCAGGCACAAATCCCTGCTCCTCCACTCACAAAGCTAACCCAGTCTAAATTATTATTTCTACTCTACATGGGCCTGACAACTCTAAAAAAAATACTCAGCAGTACTTGTGGTTGAAATAAATGATGTGATATTGCTGGGAGAAGTCACATATCTTAGAAGTACACACTCAAAGTCTGTAAAATTATTTCAATTATACATACCACAGCTAAGCAAATCCCAGGAATCATACCTGCATGACCTGCTGCAATTTCAGAACTCGCTTGTAGATGGCTGAATTGGGAACATTATAGCGTTTGGCATTTTCAAACATTAAATTCAGATCACACTCCAAATGATCCAAAGTTTCATATTCTTGGTTCTTTAGCTTTGTTCTGTGAAAGACAAACACATGACTACAATTTACCTTTACGAAAATGATGAAACACCCTTACTGAAAGTCCAGTACAAAAATCCTAACAAGCACTAGCTGACCTCTTTACTTGTGATACTGATGAGAAGCCCAGAAGGGGCACCTTCAAGATAGAAAGGAGGCAAAAGCACCACTGTATTTAGGCAGTATGACAGTCTACCTGAAAATCCAGAAGAACAAAACACTATAAGAAGTAATAAGAGGACCTAGGGTGCCAAGGTGGTCAATTACAAAGCAAATATATTAGCAACAATCCTAATGGAAAACCTCTGTTAGTTAGGTTAACATGCAAACCCCAGAAAGAGGAAAAAAAAAAAATCAGGGAGGTTTTAAGATACCTTAATGAAGAACCATGGTGATCTAGCCTCTTCATGAAGGTTAATGAAAAGAGAATGTACTCACAATACCATGAAAGGGGATATATATATATGTATAACGAAGAGGTCTTAAGATGGTAAATGAGAGGCATATATGTCAGAGTCCATTCACTACTTTTCTTCTAATACAAACATTTGTAACTAATTATGATGGCTTAAAATTGGTATTACTTATTTTGCTTAAAAGTCTTAAGAATTCTGGTATCTTTTAGACACTATGGCTATTGCTAATACCAACTCTCATAAAGTCCCTTATATATTTTACTTTAAAGATTTATTTATTTATTATTTTAAAGAGAGAGAGAGAGAGAGCATGAGCAGGAGGGGCAGAGTGAGAGAGAATCTCAAGCAGACTCTGCACTGAGTGTAGAGCCCAACGTGGAGCTCAATCCCAAGACCCTGAGATCACAACCTGAGCCAAAACCAAAAGTCAGATGCTTAACCAACTGTGCCACCCAGGCATCCCTATATTTTTTAAAAAATATTTATTTATTTGAGAGAGAGAGAGAGTGCATGCATGGGGAGAAGGGCAGAGGGAGAGAGAGACACTCACGCAGACTCCCAGCTGAGTGGGGAAGCCCGACGCAGGGCTTGATCCCACAACCCTGAGATCATGACCTGAGCTGAAATCAAGAGTCGGATGCCTAACCAACCAAGCCACTCAGATACCCCATGTCCCTTTTACATGGGGTCACCGTGGGCCCTAACTCTGTATGCACATAGGATAGACTTTTAAATCTTTTGACTGAAGCACTTGCACACTACATGCAGATTCCACGTACTGCTTAAAAAGATATGAACATTTGGAGAACATCTCGGGAGTGAAGCATACAACTATGCACAAACAGCTCTCAGTACCAGCCTACGTGGCTAGCACCTAGAATTTAAAATTATAGACTCAGACTTATCCCTGCCAACTCTAAGAGTAATGTGCTGAGTATTCTCAATACCCACAAAGAATAGATGTGGAACTCGAACTTGTAAATGACAATCTATAATCAATCTGCAGGTATTTATGAGACTGATGTTCATCAAAATTAGAGGGGGGCAGGATAGGCACAATGGGAAATAAAAGATGGGGATGATAAGCCCCAGCACAGTGGAAGGTGACATATGGAGCCACGCTGTCTAGCTCCTGCCCACTCCTTCATTTTTGTTGTTTTTTTTTTTTTAAAGATTTTATTTATTTATTTGAGAGAGAGAGACAGCGAGAGAAGGAACACAAGCAGGGGGAGTGGGAGAGGGAGAAGCAGGCTTCCCGCCAAGCAGGGAGCCTGACACGGGGCTCGATCCCAGGACCCCGGGATCATGACCTGAGCTGAAGGCAGACGCTTAATGGCTGACCCACCCAGGTGCCCCGCCCTTTTTTTTAATGATTTATTTTATAGAAAGCAAGAGAGAGCATGTGTGCGTGGAACGGAGGGGCAGAGAGACAGAGAGTCCTAGCCAGACTCCTCGCTGAGCGTGGAGCCTGAGGTGGGGCTTGATCCCAGGAGTATGAGATCATGACCTGAGCTGAAACCAAGAATCGGATGCTTAACTGACTGTGCCACCCAGGCACCCCTATTTTTGTTGCTTTTGATGACACTCAACTATCATCCTTCTGCCAACAAATCTCCCTAGGACTGTGCTATATAATACATTAGCCACTAGCCACATGTGGCTATTTAAATTGAAATAAAATTTAAAATCTAGTTCCTTAGTCGCACCAGCCACATTTCAAGAGCTCAATAGTCACATGTGACTAGTGGCTACAATATTGGACGGGGCAGAGAAAACATTTCCATCATCATAGAAAGTTCTATTTGGTCAGCACTGCTGTAGATATCCGTGTTGTTCTGATGTAGAAACAATGGACAGTAGTCCAGCTCCTGTCAGGCACCACTGGCCATGTGTCCTTGGAAAGGAGGTAGATTAGCCATGCTAAGAGCTGACCCTTCAGAACTCTAGTGTGCTACCAGCTAGGCCTCAGCCATTTCTCTATTCCTCACACTCCCCTACCTATGTGCCAGACAACTGTCAAGAAGTAAATTTAAAAAGGGGGAAAGGTACAGAATTCCTGACTTAACCAAGCAAGGTTTCTATTAGGAAATTCTAACTTAGAAGAAGGTTGTAGGCAGGTGATTGGGTTGGCTGAGAATATGTCTTCCTTTACACTAAACTCATTATTTTGACTAAAAAAAAAAAAAAGACTGAGGAAGAAAAGAAACTAAGGACAAAAATTGTTGAGTGAATGGGGCGCCTGGGTGGCTCAGTCATTAGGCATCTGCCTTCAGCTCAGGTCATGATTCCAGGTCCTGGGATCCAGCCCCGCATCGGGCTCCCTGCTCCGCGGAAGGCCTGCTTCTCCTTCTCCCACTCCCCCTGCTTACGTTGCCTCTCTTGCTGTCTGTCAAATAAATAAAATCTTTAAAAAAAAAAAAAAATTGAGTTAATAGGGAACCTCTCGACATCTATAAGACTGTCGCTATCTTTTTCAAGACAAAGAGTATAAAAGACAAATTTCTAGGCTATTTTCTTAATGAGTGGCAGCTTTAATTTCCATGTTACTTTAAGAGGATCAAATAAACTGACTTTCTATATCCTATTTGGGTACAAAACCTCCAAAATTTGTATTAAGTAAAAACACCATAAATTTTACTGATCAAATAATGAAAACAGAAGTTATAAATGCAAAACCATGAAACATATGTTGTTAACAACCTTATTTTCTAGAATCCAGCAAGTATAAGAATTTTAATTCCTACTATTTGAAAGGTTAGTTATCTGTCCTGATAAATACCAGCTTATTCTGATTTTGCCCAGTTAAGATATATTTTTACCTTGTTGCCTCTATCTGGCTATACGGTAGAACCTAACCTGCACCATGAGAGTTACGTTATTACTTATTTCCTATTATTATTATTATTATTTTTAAAGATTTTATTTATTTATTTGAGAGAGAGAGAGACAGCGAGAGAGGGAACACAAGCAGGGGGAGTGGGAGAGGGAGAAACAGGCTTCCCACTGAGCAGGGAGCCCAATGTGGGCCTTGATCCCAGGACCCTGGGATCATGACCTGAGCCGAAGGCATACATTTAATGACTGAGCCATCCAGGCACCCCTATTTCCTATTATTTTTAATGACGATGCAGTGGTTTCAGTATTCTGTCTGAATTCCCAATGTTTATTTGTTTTTGTTTATTTATGTATGTATGTATGTACTTAAAGTAGGCTCCATGCTCAATGTGGGGCTTGAACTCACGACCCTGAGATCAAGAGTCGCATTGCTCTACCGACTGAGCAGGCAACCCCCAATGATTGTTTTAAACAGGATGGGGAAACCAAGATGAACCATCTTTCAAGTACTGTTTCAGCTAATGAATTCTCTAAGAGCTGCCTATGCTTATTCTGGGGACTCAACTTTAGATACAAAATTTAAATAGAATTAAACTGTTGTAATTAAAATATCAATAGGAATTATAAGCAGAAAGATTTCTGTACTTTGTTCAGCTGTAAGAAAATGAACAGTTAAGTTTTGAGCTGCATGACTCTTTATAGTCTATAATCTGACACACAAATGCCTAGCAGGAATACCTTTTATTTGCCTTGACTCTATTACAGTACAAATAATATCATTTGCATTTAATCAAATTTATTTCTCACTTTTCACGTAGGAGTGATATGCAAGACATACTCTAGACATGTGAAAACATTTTTACCTTTAATATCCTTATCCATTTTAGCAAGGAGATATATGTGCAGGATCAACCACAAGAAAATGGATTTCTATTGAGTAATGTATAAGGCAGCTTACCTGATCTGTTGTAGGGATATGGGCATTTTAATTTGCTGATAATAATCAGGGTATTTTTTCTTTGAAGGCAAATGGAAAAAAGGTTCGGCTATTAGCTGCCCTTGGTTATTCCGACAACTCCTAACTGTGTCATAAAGCTGATAAAAAGGATTTGAAACATCCATAAATGAAGTAATGCTCTCTGCTTCCGACTCTCCTTCTTCATAACGCGCTGCTAAAAAAAGACAAAAAAGGTATTAGAAGGGGAAGAACGAACCATACTTTAAAGCTCTTTTAACAACTTCCAAAGTAAGCTTCGTATGTTTGAAAATACTTATTTTAAGAGTTTCCATCCCTCATTAAAGACGCTGTTAGTGCTTAATATAATTGTATATTTACTTAGAGAAATGTTACATAGAAACAAAGGGTTACATAGAAAACACTATGCTGTTTTTTAAAAGTTACAAAATAGTTTCTCTTTTTAAATGTGCCTTTAGAGACTCTGCTATATGTGTTTGGCCAGGAAAAGGATAAAGTAGCCATACACAGATCTCAGAACTAAAGCAGCAGCATGTAGTTCAGGGTATTATAAATGTATACTGATACCAGGTTGATACTGGGAGATCTGGTTTTGCTTTGAGTCTGTGTGATTTTGCCCCAATGATCTACAGCATCCCTTAAGAATGATTTATTCCCTTGAGAGAATTTTTAGGTAGAAGCTAATCATAAAAACACCAAAACAAAATGTAATCATTTTTATAGAAAAACAAAATACATTCATTTCCCTAAATTCTTCAACAGTGTATAATGACCATAATTTAAGTTTTTCTTGATGAATCTGTATAATCAAAATCACTACTGCTCATGGGTAAGAATGACAATCATTTAGTAAGTACTTATAGTGTTAAGAGACGGACAGGCACAACTCAGGAGAGTTGTGAGAGGATTTGGATCTAGTCATGGAGCCAGAAGTAGAGAGGATCTGAAACTAGTTTTCTCTGACCCTACTACTGCTGATCTTCTCCATTAAGAGCTTGCACATACTTAGTTGGATTTATACCTAGATATGTTTTGTTGATACTGTAAACTGTATCTTTTAAAAAAAAATTGTATTTTCTTTTTGTGGATTTCAGAAATGAAACAAATGATCTTATATTTAGCATCTTATTATTATTAATTCCAATAATTTACCTGTACAGTCTTTTGAGTAA